GCCTCAAAAAGAAGTGTTAATATTTTTACTTTGCAAAATTATATTTGCGATAGATAGATGTTTCTTTCAGTCAGCAATGCATGATATCTTTCGCGTTATGAAAGTGCATTGCTTAATATGGCATATGTTAATTATTTAAAAAAGGTATTTTACTGAGACTTTTGGGAATATTATTTTGCAACAAGTGTTATTATATACTGTATGCATGATATTAGAGTACGAGTGTTAATTTATGGTCAGTGTCATTTATACTATTATTATGTCATGAAATAAGTTTATAGCACATTGTAATATAGATTGAGTGAAAATTTCTGTTTCTACTTTTTGTGCACATTTTTCTGCATTCAGAATGAAATCTACTGGTTATAATGAAGTTTTATTACAATACCAAGATTGCAAATGCTTGGATATATATATATACATATACATACATACATACATATTTTTTCCTTTTTGAAACAATAATGTACACTTTTATATTTTGAAATTTTTATAATCATGCCATTTTATGCTTAAAAAAGTGCAAAAATAAATACCAGAGCTTTTAAAATTAAAATTATTTTTCAGTTTTAATTTTATTCAATTGTAAAGATTTTTTTATGAGCTGGTAACAGATGGCACTGTATTTATTTATGAGAAGTAAAATATTTGTTTGAATTTTTTACTTTTTGGATTATTTTATGCTTTTTAAATTTTTTAATGATAAACTTCTCTTTAATGTTATAGTCTGCTGTTTCCAAATTGCAAATTTTAATATTATTTTTATTTAATTAACTATCATTTTACCGACCGTCTGGTGATATTATATATTAAGCATAGCTATCATATACATTTGCTGGCAGTTGGAGAAACTTAAATTGAAATTATCTTTGATAGTACTGAGATATGTGTACTGAGATATCTATATTAGATGTCAATTAGATTTCAGCTAAAGCATATGAAAAATTATCCTAAGTGCTTAAAATTCTGAAAGATTTTTAATAAGTTACATTATCTTCTCAAAATTAATTACTCACAATATGGAATTTAATTGAAATATAGGGAAAAATAATTAAAAAAGAACAAGTGCATTAATTTTATTTTTTTGGTTGTCATAAATATAAATAAAAAACTTTTAAATATGTAATTTTTTTTCATTATATCGGAGGAAAAGCTGACAGAAGTATATCTTGATATTTTAGTACGGATTACAGAAATTATATAAATCTCTTTCAGGTTAATACTCAGTTGTATAGTCAGCAAGAAAAGAGTGAATTGCAAAGGGTCATTGAGTTAATGCTGGCTTTTAATCTAAATTATCGACAGGAGAGAACACCTGAGGGAATTTATAACTATGTTCTTGATCCGTAAGTATGGCGGTGTTTTAGTTTTGGCTTAGTGTTCATTTTATCGTTTACTAAAGTAAAGCAAATTAATTTTAAAGGGAGAAATACAGTGTTTCTACAAGTTTTAAAGCAAAATTTACTAAACAAAAAAATCAAGATATGAATTTAACAGTTTTATCACTTTTTAGGCATCTCTTTAAATTCCAGCTGATGTTACATCCTTTGGCATGTTTATAGAGCTTGTACATGTCTTAATAAAAGTCAACTGTTGGAATGCTTTTCAATTTTCACATTACATTTCTCTGGAGATGAGGCTTCACTTTTAGGAACACAAAATAACCTGCTTGTGTCAGATCTGGTGATCAAGAAGAGTTTCATAAAGTTACTTTACTTTAAAAAGATTTCCTTTGTAATAAAATACTTAATGATAGTTGCATTATGTAAAGTAATTTTATTGTGTTTGTTTTTCGATCTTGTAATCCATTGTAAAATGATACATTGAGAACAATAGATCTTGTAATCCATTGTAAAATGAACCTAAAATTTCCATCTAAACTTCTTCCCATATGCAAATAGTATCTTAAAGAAAGCAAGGTAGCATATATTATTAATCTTTATCAGGATTTATCATTTGGGAACTACAGAATTTTTTTTTTTTTTTTAATTCTATCTTAAATTTTGTAGAGGCATCATGTAATAATACTGCATATCTGATGTCAAGTTCTAAAAATCTAGATTGTTAGATTATTATTTATATACAATAAAGAAAATGATAAAAAGAATTTTTTATGGTTAAGTAATAAGGTTTTTTACTCTTTGATGAAAATGTAGAGTAATAGAAAAAAAAATCCCCCATGGTCTTTAAATGTGTTTAAAAAAACATCAACTTTGGCATTGAAATCCAAATGCATCATACTCATTTCCTTTTTTGTAGTATTTTTTATAACCCTTGCAGTATTCTAAAATAGTGTAATCATAAATGAAATGTATGCAAAAATAGTTTCATTCAAGAATGATGGAGAGAAATGAAGTATACAGTACAAAGTCTGAGATCCCAACATCCAATATCTAAGTCCCAACAACCGAATGTTTATCAGCATATGACAACTTGAGCAATGACTCATGCAGTGATGCCTAAGCAATTTTTTTTATATTAGTAATTGAATAAAAAAGAGTATGGTAAGCTTTTATGTTGATATTACGCTTGGCGATGATTAAAGTTAAATGCTCTAAGAAATGTTGAGGAGGAAAAATTTAAAAAAAAAAATTACTTTCCATATGCTAAAAATAGATTTTATTCATGATACTCATAAACCACAAGATTACATTTAGTGTTATTTGAATTAAGAATAACTGATTCGTTTTCACATAAACCCAAAACCGGCACTAGAGCTCATATTGCCCAATTTAGAAAAGACAACATTTTTGGAATTAAGACAAGCACTGAGCAACAAAATTAAGGGATGACGAAGTTTTTAGAATTTAGGAAAAGCACTGGCACCCAAAATTTAGTGGCGACAAAAATTTAGAACTTAGGGAGAAACTTGGTAGCAAAATTTAGTACCCGCAGGGATTGCATCAGGTGGTAAGATATATAGAGCTGGCCTCGATAAGTACATTTGTAAAGTACACTGCTCGAAAAAAAAATGGGACAGTTCTATATCTCTCGTTCTACTGAGCCGATTGACGAAATTCAAATTGCGCTCTTCATGTCTTGAAAGTGCGACTTAGGATATATATTAGATTTATATATAGCTCTACTCTAACATAGTTATTTTGACACGAATTCGGACTTTTTTTCTGAAAAACATACCAATTTTTAATATTTCGATTCTACACCAAATTATGCCTAATATTAAATTTGTAAAATTTGGTGTTAATTTATGGAGAAATTCAACAATTTATTGGTGCTTTTTATTCAGTGGCGCCAAAATTAGTTCACTTGACGACTTCTTAGATGTGCAACCTATTTTCATTCCATTTTTACATTTGCGTGAGAGGAAAAAAGACCCATCCTTCTTTCAATACCCAATCATTCGTCTTTTCTTTATATTATATTTTTAATTGTAATTATTATTATTTTAAGCAATTTTTTCTTTTCGAATTTCATTTTAATTGTATAAGGGGCATGGTTTCTTTCGAATAACTTTTTAAAATTTCTATTTATCATTGAACTGCATAGTTAAATCAAAGGTGAATTTTTATTTTTTTTTTTTTCAAAAAGTTTTCTTTATACTATATTTTTAGTCATAGTTACTATTTAAGATAATTTAAAATTTTTAGACTTTTATTTATTGTTATGTTGCATTGTCTCTTCAGATATTATTTTCCTATTTATTCATTCGAACTGAGCATTTTAAATATATTTATTAATATAAATTTTTCAGAATTTAATTTATTTATTTGAATTTCTTTCGGAAGAAACTCTGCAACCCAGACTACAATGCTTTGAAAACTGAATTAAAAGAGAAATTACAGTGAAGCACATTAAACATGCCTCAATTTTCTGTTGCAAATGATTATATAAATAAGCAAGATCCTAACCGACATTTTAACTTAGGATGACTTGCATACACTTTAAACAGTTTTTATTGTGCCCATTGTCTTTACACAATTTATCCTCATTTGGTTTCTTAAAACGTTTATCATATTTTAGTAATATTTTTATTTTTGAATCAGAATCAAATATCATAAGATTAAAAAGTTTAAAAAAAAAAAAAAAATACTAAATTTTACGCAAAAATTTTTTTTTCTTCTCTTTCTTCAGGCATTCGTTTCATTCTTGCTCTTTTGCATTCTGCAATATATTAAAAGCATCCAACTTTTTCAAAACATCCTGTATTTCTGACAATCATTTTAAATAAAGTTATCGCCTTCCATTCATAAGGCCCACAAACGGCCGAGCGGTGAAGTCACTGAACACTGGTAGTTCACTCCGGGTTCGAATCTCGGTAAAGGGGCTGGTTGCATGGGCGTTTTCGTGGATTTCTCATATGAAACATGTATGCCAGCTGGTTTCCCTTAGAAATTCTTCATGAAGGCATCCTTCCTTTTAAGCAGATAGTCCTGCTTTGCGTAATATAATTCAATTCATCCATTTCTCAAGCCTTTATCAGTCTTTAGAAGCTAAGCATTTGAAGTATGAGATAAATTGAAAGACTAGTTCTCAAGGTTTTGGTTTTTAATTTGACAAAGCACACTAGGGCTATCTGCCTAAGAGGAGGGATGCCTTCGTGGGACTTTCTAAGGGAAACTGGCTCGTATACACTACACCTGGGGAAAACTACCCCATGCAGCCAGTCCGTTCGTGGATTTGAACCTCGGAACGAACTACCAGTGTTCACAACTTTATTGCTCGGCCCTGTTTCATCAGGAGGGAAAGACTCTTTAGGTGACATCCACATACATCACTGGATAAACTCCTGAATCTTCAATAATTTGATTGAGAAATCATGGGATTCTCTGTTTATAATACGATATGTGTCTATAACGAATTTAATTTATACACCATATAGTCTAGAACCAGTCGCTCTTCACTTTAATCTGCAAATGATATCTTTTTTTTTCTTTTTTAACACAAGCTGAATTGAGGTATTTGCTAGTGTACACGTACAAGTGTTTTCTCTTTGAACACCAAATTCTTTGAAGTATCCTGAAGTATATTCAAAGTGTCCAACCTTTTGAATATTGGTATGTCTGACACCAATTTCTCTGCAAATTTGCTTACTTTTTCTCCTACAGTTATTTTCAGTGCTCACAAGAAAATTAGATTTTTCGATTGCTAGACTACCATAAATTTTTGCGGTTTGTCATTTTTTAAAATATCAATTATATGAATGCGTTTCAGCGAACAGCTTTTTTTTTAGTCATTTTACTATAAATAAAGTTTAAAGCGAAGTCCAAAGGATAAATTTTAATTAAAAGATTTTTGTAAATTACAAAGAATAAAACAGTCCGCAGTTTTTATTCTGTACACCGAATGACCCGATTCTATATCGGCTGAAAACAATCTAAATCATATTAAGATAATCAATACAATAAAGATAATTATCAATCTATAACCGAGACAAAATTAGCTCTTAAAACATTCTTCTAAGAGGATTAATATAAAATTTATATTTATATATATATTTTTAAAGCTGGGACTTGAATCAAACTGTCCAACTTTTAAAGTTTAATTTACGTGGTGGTTATAATTAAAGTTCCACTTTGAGATGGTCATAAAAGGAAAACTACCGGACCAAATGGTTATCAAACTTGGGAACCGTGTAAAGGAGGTTATGGGAATTTATTTTCCGCAGGAAAAAAAAAAGAGTTAAAAAACTCACCACCAGGGCAAAAATGGTGCTGTATGCAATATGGTTAAATGAAATAAGACATGAAAACATCAGTTTAAAATGTGTTTAATCGTTTCTGAAACATGTTACAAAGCATGTTCAATGTAGCGTCCAGCATTTTACAAAAGCAAGCTAAGTCCTGTTACTGCATTCTCAACAGCAGCTCTTAGCATATCAGGAGGAATGCTACAGACATGTCGGTGTATCACATTTTTCATTTCTGCCAAATTGTTTAGATTATCACCATAAACGGTGCTTTTGAGATAACCCCATAGCCAAAAGTCACAGAGAGGTTAAGGTCTGCTGGGAAGAGGGAAAGTGTCGGCCTATAAGACATTCATTCATGAAATGTTGCCTAAGTAACTGTGCGACACATGTGAGGTGGGGCCCAGCCCTGCATAAAAATCATAGTTCTAAAATGCCATGTAACTGCAGTTCATGTATCATGAAATATTGACTCTAAGCGAGCTGCAATCACAGTGGTCCAGCTATCGACTGCTCTTCAGAGAAAAATGGTTCAGTTATGAAACTAGCTGTCATTCCACACCAAACGGTGTGGAATTACTGCCATGCAATCGAATGCAGTAGCAGAATGCAATGGAACTAGGTAGATAACATGAGGGATTTCTTTGGCCCAGATTGATTAAAAGTGTTTTGAATCAGTATCTTCAGGTTTTTAGGGCC